TCTACAACCAGAACATACCTGAGATCTACTCCCATCCTGTCCAAACCACCATCATCTCATACCTTGTCTATGCTGGTTGCCTCCTTACTGATCCCACTGCTTCCTGCATTTGTGCCTGCTTAGAGCCCATTGGCCACAGAAGAGCTAGGGGACTCTTTCTAAAATGCAAATCAAATCACACCATTTATATATTGATAAATATTTGTTGAATGAATTAATCAGATGACAGTGAGTAGTGGTATTGGGTAAGAAAGATCAATATGGCAGGGATGGGAAAACCAAAAGAGGTTCAGAGAGGCCAGATTTTAAGAAAGGCTTGATTTATTGTGCATAATTCTCTTTACTTGAAAACCCAGGCATAAAAATCTGTTTATTGGCCTGCTGTGAACACTTCACAGCTTACCCTGAGAGAATACCACCGAAGGCCAATCAAGGTTTCTCTCTGTCCACTTAGAGTCTAAACAGCTGCCCAGGTTTAATTAATATCCTGCAGTTATATCTGGAGAGGAGCCAGTTTCTGAGGCAGCTAAGTGAAAGGAGGATTTCTAACTCTTCTCTGGCGTCCGCTCGATCTGGTAGCATAGACTTAAAGTTCTCACGTGAAATTGAACTGTTATTTTTCAAAGTCCACTCAGCTTGAGGTCCCTGCATAACTGTTCCATTGCCCCCTTTATCTGCTGCCATAACATCTTGTGAGGGGGTCCTAGGTTTGGTCCTGTGAAGTTTCGACTTAAGGTTTTTCAGCAGTGTCAATTCGTCACTGAGAATCTCCTGGAGAACGATTAAGAAACACAGCGCTGGTTGTTATGGTGTAAAAAAGTCACAACGAATTTAAGCCGATCACCAAGTAATGACAAGGAGGATTCAAGTGAGGGCTTACTCTTTTGATCTACCAGGAGTTTCAAATGGCAATTATCATTAATTCTTGTATCCCTCAAGTCCTGATAGAAAATCAAGGCAACCAGAAACTATGATTTTGTGAACAGACAGCTATTAAAAGCACATTAATAATCTATAGTGGGTATAGCATATGCCTTCTAAAAAGATTTGCAGCTTGTTTCTCTGTGGTAAAGACACAGGACTTCTCCAACCTAATTACAAAGCAATCAAACAATTTAATTAATCTGGAAATCACTTTCTTACCAATAACTGCCTCTAAAATGAGGCACCCTGTGTAGCTGTTAGGTAAAGTACTGTTTTGATGTACTGCCTGTATTAGCAACGCTAGTTGCCCCTGGAGATCCTGAAGTTAATTACCTATTCAATGCCTGACCACTACTAAGGTTTCCTTTACCAGGTCAGAAACAGTAGTCTATAAAGTGTCATGGCACTCAAACATCCAAGAGGCAGCACATCCCTGGGAACAGCTGGATTTGTGTTATAAGCAAGTGTCGCACATATGGGCAGAGAATTAACTGGCACCAGTTTTCGTTTGAGAGTCTCTCAGGTATTGCTTTGCAGATGGGTGGATGAATTCAGAGAGCAGTGCTGTGAGCAGTGAAGGTCAAGTATAGGACTCTGGTTTCAATCCAACTTACTTTCTTGTCCTGGGGAAGTGCTGTGCGTGACCACAACAGTCTTGTCCTCATCTCTAAGTTAAGACTATATAAGGTGTGCTTTATAATTCAATCTGTTCTAAATTAGTGTTGTTTTGTATAACATAATAGTACCCCTGGGCTTCCCTGGTGGCGCAGTGGTTGAGGGTCCGCCTGCCGATGCAGGGGGCATGGGTTTGTGCCCCGGTCCGGTAGGATCCCACGTGCCGTGGAGCGGCTGGGCCCGTGAGCCATGGCCGCTGAGCCTGTGCGTCCGGAGCCTGTGCTCCGCAACGGGAGAGGCCACAACAGTGAGGCCCCCCACCCAAAAAAAAAAAAAAAAAAAAAAAAAAAAAAAAAATATATATATATATATATATATATAGTACCCCTAAGACTTAAGAGACAACATAGAAATCAATTTTTATTTCAAATAAGAACAAAGACCTCAAAGATTGACTTCTGCCTATTTAGTCTGCTAATCTTCTAATCTCTCCCTAAGGAAAAAAGAGGAATTTTCTGTAACAAATGACAAAAATGTCTAGAATACTCATCTACCCTTTTCTTCTACTATTACTACCGCCCCACTTCTCTCTAAAAGTTCCCTGTTAATGGGACAGTCTACTCACATTGGAAGCCTCAGTCACTTTTAGTCTGTAATCTTTTTCATGACTTATTTCTAATCCATCACCAATTACCCTTGGTTTGCTCACCAGAATATCCTTTCCATTGGCTTTCCATGTCCTAATCTAGCTCCTTCTCCTCGGCAGCACATCTGTCCACTCGGCATACTCAATGCCAGCTTAAAATCTCTTAGCATCTCTCTTGCATCCAAACATCTCTTAAGGCCTTCCACTAGGTAGTACCGATACATGTAGTTCACAACTCATTGGCTTTACCAGTCTGAATTCCCTGCTTGTAGAGAGCCTGTCTCCCCTGCATTGCCCCGCTGTGTTTGGGTTGATTCTGTCCCCTTCCTGAAGTCCTTCCATTCCTTCTGTTTATCTCCAGCTTGCTGAACTGACCTCAAATTGAGCTATAGTCTCTCGTCCTTAAGGAATTATCAATCTAGTTTATGCCACCTTCATTTTCTCCAATATCCCATTGCACTTAAGGGCCTTTGTGATAATGCGGGGGCGTGTATTTGCATTTCAACTAGCTCTTCAGTCGGACATGAAACAAGAAGAAAGATCTGTGGTTAGTAAGATAATAGGAATGGCTCTATAGCTTGGAGTTGAGGAACATTGTCAATGGAAGTGCCTGGAAAGGCAGCATGGAATAGGAAGACAAAACCCGAAGATGAGAAATGGTTAATGGTAGCCCTGGGTTTTTTGTTTGTTTGTTTGTTTAAAGAGCAGAGTTAAATTAACCTACCTCTGTATCTCCATCTCTGCCCATTCATCCTCAAAGTGATGGTCCGCCATGTATTATAAGATGTTACATAGCTTCCTGGGGGACCACTCCTTAAAAATCTCTAAAAGTGAAAAGGTTTTTAAGATAATTCCTTGTCTCTCCCTCCTTCAGAGTCTTAAAAACATTTAATAAGCTCTCTCTAGTTGTTCTGGTTGATCTCATATAATCTCCAGATATAGTGTTCTCTTTACAAAGAACACAGGGCTAAGAATTTGGTGCCAAGTTTCACTGGCCTTATTATTTATTCCCAGTGAATAGGGTAGCAGGGATTGTTCTCAAAATGCCTTGGCTTCAATCGGTTGTTTTGTTTCTCATAATTTACTGGTAGTTTGCTCTGTGTGGGGTGTGAGCAAAGCGAACTTTTTTTTCCCAAATAAAAACAAAATCGACGTGGAGATTTCTGGCATTTGATTTGTTTCCCTTTAGAAACAAGATTTCTAGCCATCTTGAAATCAAGACCTTTTAAGGAATATGAAAAGTGATGCACAAACTAAATTGGGGGGGGGGCAGGGGGAATGAAGGCTGTTGGGAAAAGTGCAAAGAACTTAATTTAGCCGTGTAGATAAATGGACAAAAAGAGTCCTGGATTACTGGATGGCAGATGCAGAATCCATTTCTCCAGGGGCCCAAGGAACAACAGATGCAAAGGCATGATAAATTTCATTGCTGCAGGGGGAAAATGCTTCTTGATTCTCTATCCATAAAGAAATGGGCTTTTCAGTGCTTCCCAGTTAAATGGCTTTAATTGTGCTGTCTGTCAGAAACTTAATGGCATCTGTTGATGCCATCACTATAAAATCTGCATCTTTAATTGAAAATTTTCGGTAGAGGTGTAGCCAGTCCAGAAGTCCTCAAGGTAACACTGAAATTATCCGCTTTAATGCGTTAATCTATTCTTTTTGCACACAGGTAATAAATTATTTACCTTTATAGCTAGGTACTGACTTGAAGGTGCCGCCTTGTATTCCTTACCCCTAATTACAGTTGTCACTTCCAGTAAGAAATCAGTAATGTGGCAACTGGCTTGTTGTTAAGGATTAAACATGTGTTCTTGATTTATTTTCTGTGTTTCAAGAACATAAGGGATTAGTTTGCCGCCTTTCCTAACCTCCTTATTTACACCAGCTACAGTCCCATCCGGTCCTCAGGAAATTCTCAACCTAATTAAACATGCAGAGGGAAGCAGGGTTGTCTGGAGTGCCCTGAACCTCCCCTCACCTGCTGCCTGCCAAGCTTTCTCAGTGATCAGTAGCAGGTTACATGTTCTGATGGGGAAAGTAGCAAGTCCCCCAGGAGCTGCCACCTTACAGTAAGCAACCCGTGCTCCACCTGCCTCCAGAGGACTTGGGGAAGACACCCTCTGCCAGCCTCTGTGTGTGGCTTTTAAAGGCTGCCTGGCCAGTCACCACCCAGCTGCTTAGGAGCAGAGAGACTATTGAAGAAAATACGGATAAGGGTTAGTCCTGCTGGGCCACTAGGCCATGCTGAGATAGAGCTGGATCATTTGAGGAATAGGTCCGAACTGTTGGGTTCTCCCCAGTATTTTATGACTTGTTCTGACATTTCTCCCTTTAAAATATGTACTTTGAAATATGAGGATTCATTTTTGAGAACTCAGAATTTTATTTCGGTTTCTGTAAATAAAAATATCAAGACTGCCTCCTTAGAATAGAAAGCCTCACCCTCCCAACTGAAGCATATACTTCTCCAACCATCCTGCTGTTGGAAATGTTAACATCTGGAAGAGTAGGAACCAGGACATTTGTATATTCATTATTCTGTAGGACTGAAATATTTAGGTTGTTAAACATAATGGAAAACTGCTGGTTGGTGATGTAGGTTTGTTTATTCATATATTCCACACTTGGAAAGCTGTGCTGGAGCTCAAGCCGACCCCGTCTCTGCTCCAAGTAGAAGTAAAACATTTTTTGAGGAGATGGACATTTTACGAAAGTGTACAGAAACTTACTACTAAAGAGAAGAATGTTCTGGATGTAGATAAAGATACAAAAACAAAGCCATGATGTCAAGTTTTTTTCTTTCTCTCTACAGGAAATAGCCCTCAAGATAGTCCAAGAAACTTCTCCCCCAGTGCCTCTGCCCATTTTTCATTTGCACGGAGGTAAGGATTTCTTGTGAGGAGAATAATGAAGTGTTACGTGGAGAACCCCGTCCCCCCACCCCACTCCCTCCACTACCCTTTAGAGCTATATGTACCTCTCTTGGTCCTTCCTAGATGGTGGGCTCTCACTGAGGGCAGGAGAAAACCATTTCCACCTTTTCTCCCATCTGCAGTGCAGTGTCTCATACGTGCTTTTGATGATCAACAGATTTTTACTGAAGTATCTGAGCTTGTATTATAAGAACTTGATTCACCTATATGTCTTGGTGCATTTGTTTTTGTTGTTGTTGAAATACCTTTTTTTTTTTTTTCCCCCTTAATAAAAATGACCTTACTTGGGATCACAAGGTATAAACTCTAAGATGCCTTTCCTTGAGAGCACCAAGCCAGCAATTTAGTGATCTCCCTGAGATAAAGCCATGAGGATGTTTTATGTTTTCTCTTCCTATCTTAGTTAGAATTGGACACCAAATATCAAAGTTATGTCTCGTATCTGGGTCAGTGAGTCATGAGAAAGTATTGTTGCTCAGAGGACAGTGGGCATATGATCTATTATCAAACCTTTTCAGTTCTGGATCTTCTACTGTGATTTCTCCCAGTCAGAGGAGTCTGCACAGCCACCTCTTCTGTGTTGTCTGTGTGGAATTAGTGTACTTCACCCTGTCACGTTCAGATCTTCACCTTCCTGGGTTCCGTCATCCCTCTCAACATGTGTATACCCTGCCTTCTTCCACCCAGGAAAAACACACAGAAATCAAAATTGCCCCTTTAGCTGGGTTTCTGCATATTCAGAATGAATTCATTTTATGGTCTGAATGTCCTAGATATTTGTTTATATATATGTGTGTGTGTATGTATATATATATATATATGTATATACATATACATATATATATATATATATATATATATATTCGCTGCATTGGGTCTTCATTGCTGCGCGAGGGCTTTTCTCTAGTTGTGGTGAGCGGGGGCTACTCTTCATTGCGGTGCGCAGGCTTCTCATTGTGGTGGCTTCTCTTGTTGTGGAGCACGGGCTCTAGGCGCACAGGCTTCAATAGTTGTGGCATGTGGGCTCAGTAGTTGTGGCACACGGGCTCTAGAGCTCAGGCTCAGTAGTTGTGGCACACGGGCTTAGTTGCTCCATGGCATGTGGGATCTTCCTGGCCAGGGATCGAACCCGTGTCTCCTGCACTGGCAGGTGGATTCTTAACCACTGTGCCACCAGGGATGTCCCTGTCCTAGATATTTGTTAAATTTTCTTCAGAGACCTAATCATACCTTGAAATGAATTAAAGTAGCATTTAATTAAGACACATAGGTAGGTTAAAAAAATAGATTTAACACGTTACTAACGAGCAAAACCTGCAGCGTCTTCACTGTCATTTGTCAGCATTCAATGCATTTTATATAACTAAATCCAGAGAAAAGGATCTGCTTGCAGCGTTTTCAAAATTCCTGATAATTAAGATTCTCTTGTAAAATCACACATTCCCCACCATATGGTAAATGCCTATGTGTACCAGGCCTCCACCATAGGGAGGACACAAGAGTAATTAAGACGTGGTCTCCAACGAACTTCCTGAGACCAACACCCCAATTTTCCCCAGTTCCAACTTTGATACTTTCAGTGCTCATTTTAAGCACCATAAAGAAAATGTGACAATTAACTGGTCTCACAAAGCCTGTGTTTGTTTGCCCAATGAATATTAATTCACTGTGGTGATACCATTCTAAGTGGAAAGGGAAATCTTATAAAAACTGATTTAAAAAAAAGAGAACATACCATAGTCTTTCAAATACATTTCTCTTAAAAAGGGAATGCCTTTAATTACTTTAAGTAGAAAGAAAATGCAAATGTCATTATAGCCCACATTTAAACGTGACTGAAATCAGTCTTTTAATCCTGCCAGATTTATAAAAATGAAGAGAATCTAATAATTAAGTGGCTGACTGGAGGACAGATGAATCTGGTTTCTATGCTATAAAAAAAAAAAAATACACAAACCCCTAGGCATGTTAATTTTCGACAAATAAACCGTAAACCGTAACAGAAGATTATCACAGGAGACCTCTGGTTCATTTTTCAGGAATTTCCAGATGGAACTCCCTCCACACTCTTCAAAAAGCATTAATTTAGATTAGGACATGAGTGATCATCTTTTTTGAACTTTTGTTCAAGTAAATAGAACCCTGTGTTTGCTACGCGAACTCAAATTGGCCTATTTTTATTTGACATCAGTCATCTTTCTCTTCCATTTTAAAGTTGATTTTTCATTCAAGAAACATGGAAATTCCATGGGTCTCCATTCCCTACCATTTGGCATGCATTTCTGAGCCTTTAGGAAGTCGTACCATTTAGGGAGTCCCACATTTTATCATTTTGTATGTTCAGTCCAGCAGAGGGGAGAGATTGTCCTCTTTTAAAAATTATTCTTGGGTGGTGGGATAAAGTTCAGACTTATTAATCTTTTCTGATCTTACTTATAACGTGATAATTTACCCCCCAGTAGACATCCCCTGTAATGTTGAATTTCAGACTGGGAAATAGGATGACACACACTTGCTTTCCATATTATCTAATAGGTGTTTGAGAGCAAAATTATCTAGTTAATTTTTTATTATCGAGTTAAAATAAAAGGATGAAAATGAGCATCATAGCGTAGTAGATTTTGTCTGGAGCAAGGAAACATATTTTGTAATTTGCTAATCACTGTGATGAAGCTGGTTTACAATCCATCTGATTGTGGAGTTACTTAATGTTTTATTCCTTGGTTGTGGTAAACTGGAGGTAATGACATTGTTCTGCCTTCCCCAGAAGTTGTAGAGGTTTAGGTAAAACATAAGTTGCTTTCACTTTCATTAGAAATATAGAGAGAGGCACTTCCCTGGTGGCGCAGTGGTTAAGAATCTGCCTGCCAATTCAGGGGACACGGGTTCGAGCCCTGGTCCGGGAAGATCCCATACGCTGCATAGCAGCTAAGCGCCTGCGCCACAACTACTGAGCCTGCACTCTAGAGCCCGTGAGCCACAGCTACTGAGCCCACGTGCCACAATTACTGAAGCCCATGCGCCTAGAGCCCGTGCTCCGCAACAAGAGAAGCCACCGCAATGAGAAGCCTGCGCACAGTAACAAAGACCCAATGCAGCCACAAATAAATAAATAAATATTTAAAAATTTTAAGAAAAGGAAAATAGAGAGAGCCCTGAATAATTGTTGTGGACGTCTCCTAGCTGTCTAGCTGTTATTTATCAGGTTAAATCTCAGAACATATTTCCGTCAGCAAATTACTGGAACAGACCTGCCTGCTGAGAGGTTGGGTCATAAGACACTTGTTGAGCACTGGTGGGCAGAGTTACTCTGGTTGCATTATATTGGCATAGTTCATCTTGTTCCAGTATCAGCTAGACCATAAAATGTTTCACACCAGATGACTGTAACAAACAAACAAAGAAATCTTCCTCTTCATAGAGTTGTAATAGGGACTTTTCTTTCTTCCTTTGTTGTATACCGTATTAATCTAACTTTTTGTGGTTAGTGTTGAAATGATGTGGGTTTTTTGGTTTTGGGGGGGTTTTGTTTTTGTTTTTTGTTTGCCAATCTCTTTGTATCCTGTGTTCCCATCAGGTGTTTTTCCCTTCTTACTTTTTCATTTAGTGTAACATTAAGATTTCCACCCACAAAGAAAGCACTCTTTTCAAAAAAGCCTTGTTGCTTTGGCAAGAATGTACTCTTGTTTTCAGGTAACATTTTACTGGTAGCTGCTGCAAAGAAAAGAGAACATTGTTAGTAGGATCCAAATTATACTTGTGTGATAGCTTTCTTCAAAAAAGGGCATGCCCTCTCTTAAGCACTGTATATAGCATATATAGGAATTTCTGACGTGCAGTTGTCATGGTAATGAAAATGCAATGGTCCTTTGTGCTCCATTTGAGTAAATAGACACGGACAACTTAGGGAACTTTATGAGACATAACTTATTTCTGGTCCGTGGCTGCATAGAGTACTGAGCATATTCTTGTTTAAACATCTTTCTAGTTGTGTGTTTTCCAGAGTAAGCAAATGTAATTTATGCTTCAGAACTAATAAGAACATGTCTCCTCTTGGAGTTGTTCATTCACCTGAAATATGTTCATTGATACCAGAGGGAAAGGAGAGTTAAGGAATCACAAAGCAAAATCAT